CTTTCTTTCCTTTCTTCTCCTTCCTTTCCTCTCATTTCCTTTCTTCTCCTTTCTTCTTCCTTTCTTTTCCTCTCATTTCCTTTCCTTTCTTCTCCTTTCCTTTCCTTTCTTCCTCCTTTCCTTTCTTCTCCTTTCCTTTCTTCTTCCTTTCTTTTCCTCTCATTTCCTTTCCTTTCTTCCTCCTTTCCTTTCTTCTTCCTTTCTTTTCCCTTCATTTCCTTTCCTTTCTTCTCCTTTCCTTTCTTCTTCCTTTTCTTTCCTCTCATTTCCTTTCTTGTTCCTTTCCTTCCTTTCCTCTCCTCTCTTTCCTTTCTTCTCCTTTCCTTTCTTCTTCCTTTCCTTTCCTCTCATTTCCTTTCTTCCTCCTTTCCTTTCTTCTTCCTTTCCCCTCCTCTCTTTCCTTTCTTCTGCTTTCCTTTCCTTTCTCCTTTCCTTTCCTCTCTCCTTTCCTTTCCTTTCTTCTTTCTTTCCTTTCTTTTCTTCTTCCTTTCCTTTCCTTTCTTGTTCCTTTGCTTTGCTTTCCTCTCCTATTTCTCCTTCCCATCTCTTTCTTTCTCTTCCCTTCCCATCTCTTCCTCCCACCCTCCCTTCCTTCTTTCCTCCATCTCCCTCCCTCCTTCCTTCATCTTTCTCCCCTCCCCTCCTTTCCTCCCCCCCTCCTTTCTGGCTGAGGAATTCTGGGAGTTGAAGTCCACAGGTCACATCCTTGCCAAAGTCGGAGACCTCCCCCCCCCGGGGTAGCTGAACGGTTCTTGGTTTCCCCGCAGGGCCTGGAGGAAGATTTGGGCTACCTGGTGGGCGATTGTCTCCTCGCTTCAGCCTTTGTGTCTTACATGGGGCCCTTCCTGTCCAATTACCGGGACGAGATGGTCTCCCACATCTGGATGAAGCAGGTGAGACCCACGGGGACCTCCTGGTCTTCTCCAGAGTTGGCCTTGCCTAGGTTGTCCTCTCCTTCGCTGGAGAAGCTCCTCTTGCTGGTGACACCAGGCCCTGTCGTCCTCCTCCTCCTCCGGTGGGGTTTTGAGAGCCAGATCCTTGCCCCGTCCTTTCTGCCTTGGTGAGGACCTCCCTCATGTGATGGATCTGGGAGACGGTTCCGGGGGCTCAAGGGAGGTCACCTTGATTCCAAGATCATCACCATTGAACAACCCGGTAATCCCTTGCGGGGTGGAGTCTGGGCAACTGAATGGAGCTAGCAGAGTTTTTTACTGGCCGGAGGCCTTTCCTGTCACCGGTATGGAGTTTTGTTCAGCAACTATTATTCTCATTGTGCCCAGAGAGAGAGAGAGAGAGAGAGAGAGAGAGAGAGAGAGAGAGAGAGAAATATCTGCCTCTACCTAGGACCAAAGATGGCCGGGGACTGGTGCTGCCGGTCCTTTTCAGTTCCTCACAGCTTTCCTCCCACAGATCCGGCAGCTTCACGTGCCCTGCTCGCCCATGTTCACCTGCGACAGCTTCCTCTCCAACCCAACCATGGTGCGCACCTGGAACATCCAGGGACTGCCCTCCGACGACTTCTCCACCGAAAACGGGATTATCGTCACGCGTGGGAACCGGTGAGGCCCGGGTCCTTCTGGGCTGGCCAAGCCTGCCTGCCTGGTGGGGCTTGGAAGGAGACCCTTCCTCACCAAGGAATCAAAGAGGTTCTAAGGTGGCCTTTTGGGTTTCCTTAGGTGGCCTCTGATGATCGACCCTCAATGCCAGGCCACCAAGTGGATCAAGAACATGGAAGCCAAGAAAGTGAGGAGCCACCTTTGTCCCTTTGTCCCTGCCCCGCACAAGCAGAGCTCCCTCCCTCCCTTCTTCCTTCCTTCTTCCTTCCTTCTCATTTGCATCTCCTCCCTCCCTCTCTTCTTTCACTTCTTCCTTCTCAGTCCTGTCTCCTTCCTTCCTCCTTTCCTTCTCTTTCCCGTTTCCTTCCTTCCTGTCACCCTCTTTCCATCCTTCCGTCCCTCCAACCCTTCCTTCATTCTTTCATTTCTCATTCTCATCTCCTTCCTTCCTCCGTCCCTTCATTCCTCATTCTCATGCTGTTCCTCCCTTCCTCCTTCCCTCTCTTCCCTTTCCTCCCTTCCTTTTCTTTCCTTCCTTCCCTCCTCATTCTCCTTCCTTCCTTTCTTCCTTCATTTTTCTTCCCTCTCTCTATCTTTTCCTTTCTTCCTTCTCAATCCTGTCTCCTCCCTCCCTCCCTTCATTCCTCCCTTCCTTTCCTTCTCTTTCCCATTTCCTTCCTCCCTCCCTCCTTCCGTCCTTCCATCTCTCCATCCCTTCTCATTCTTATGCTCTCCCTCCCCTCTCTTCCCTTTCCTCCCTCCCTCCTTCCCTTTATTTTTCCTTCCTTCTTTCCTCCCTCCCTCCTCATTCTCATGCTATTCCTCCCTCCTTTCCTTTCTTCCCTTCCTTCTTTTCTTCCTTCTCATTCTCATGCTCTTCCTCCCCCTCTTCCCTTTCCTTCCTTCCTTCCTTCCTCCCTCCCTTTATTTTTCATCCCTCTATCTTTTCCTTCCTTCCTTCTTTCCTCCCTCCCTCCCTCCCTTTATTTTTCCTCCCTCTATCTTTTCCTTCCTTCCTTCCTTCCTTCCTTCCTTCCTTCCTTCCTTCCTTCCTTCCTTCCTTCCTCCCTCCCTCCCTCCCTCCCTCCCTCCCTCCTTTTATTTTTCCTCCCTCTATCTTTTCCTTCCTTCCTTCCTTCCTCCCTCCCTTTATTTTTCATCCCTCTATCTTTTCCTCCCTTCCTTCCTCCCTCCCTCCCTTTATTTTTCATCCCTCTATCTTTTCCTCCCTTCCTTCCTCCCTCCCTCCCTTTATTTTTCCTCCCTCTATCTTTTCCTCCCTTCCTCCCTTCCTCCCTCCCTTTGGAGATCTGTGCCAGCTGAGTGCCCCACATGGATCCCTGGAGTCTCCTGTTCCCTCACCAGCACTTTGTGGCGGACGGGACAGCGAGCGATGGGCCCCAGATATCCCCGGGCTCAGGGACCCTTTCCTTCTGCCCCCTGGCCCAACAGGGTTTGAAGATCATTGACCTGCAGATGCCCGACTACTTGCGCATCCTGGAGACGGCCATCCAGGTTGGCTCTCCAGTGCTGCTCCAGAACGTGCAGGAGGAGCTGGACCCCACCCTCGCCCCCATCCTGAACAAGTCGGTCACCAAAGTGGGTGAGTGACGGGGTGCCCTTTGGAACAGGGCCCGGGGCGGGGGGGGGGAGGAGGGGAGGAGTTCCCTGTTGTGGCCCGCCGGCGGAACTGGCGGCAGACTCGGACAGTGAGGAGGTTGGGGAAGAGCCTGGGCCAGTCCTGGAGTCTGGGGAAGGCTCTGATGAGGGCTCTGCGTCGGAGGCAGAGAAGGGGCCAGGGCCATCCGACAGTTACCAGCTGCCTTCGGAGTCAGAGATCAGTGGGGAAGAAGAACAGCTGGAGCCTGTTCCCAGCGTGCGCATGCACAGAGCTGCCAGGAGAAGGGAACAGCTGAGGAACAAGGGTTGCCTCAGGAGTAAAGCCACATGTGTATAATGAAGGCCTCTCCCAGAGAGAATAACGAGGAGTGAAAGGGGAATGGTGTTTGCAGGAGACAATTAGTTAATTAGGGTGAAGATTTGCTCCTGACTTCTTGCCAGGTATTGTCTGCTACAGCTGGCATTTAGAAGATATCGGCCTGGCAACTCTCCAGACCTGACAAAGGCCTGTAATTGTGCAATATCTTGAAAGACGGTTTGCCGAGACTTTGCCGGAGAGGAATTCACTGTACACTCAATAAAAGGGATTTTATCTGGACGAGGAGTCGGCTTCGTGACCTTGGGGGGGAAGCCTGGGTCAGAATGTTTCCCCTGGCGCTCCCATGACCAGCCTCTAACCCACCCTGTGTCCGGCAGGTGGGCGCATGCTGATCCGGCTGGGGGACAAGGAGGTGGACTACCACCCCGATTTCCGATTCTACCTTACCACCAAGCTCCCCAACCCTCACTACACGCCCGAGACTTCCTCGCAGACCACCATCGTCAACTTTGCCGTCAAGGAGCAGGTAGGCGCTTCGCACAGGTGTCCCGTGGACGGCTCCGTGGGCGGAACCTCTACTTTACCTGCCCCAGGGCTAGAGGGGGTGGGCGATAGCTGCAGGACCCACTGGGTGCCCTCCAGGGGGTGGGATTCAAAAATTTTAACAACCGGTTCTGTGGGCGTGGCTTAGGTGGCGGGCGTGGCTTGGTGATCATGTGACTGGGTGGACATGGCTTGGTGGTCATGTTATTGGCTGGGCGTGGCCAACTCAATATCACTCACATCGAGGCACGCATCTTGTCACCTGGCCTATCATGACTGTGGGGATGTTGCAACAGTCGTAAGTGTGAAAAAGGGTCATAAGTCACTTTTTTCAGTGCCATTGTAACTTTGAATGGTCACTCCACACAAACAAAATACCAGCAAAGGAGGGGAAAAAAACTCCAGAGAAGTTCCAGAGACAGGAAATCTAGTCCTGCCAAGAATGTAACAAGGGTTAACAGAGAGGCAGATTCTGTTAGCAACACCAGAATGTTTCCTTCCTGCCTTCCTTACAGGATTAGCCCAGTAATTTCTTCTCACAACCGGTTCTCTGAACTGCTTAGATTGTTAACAACCGGTTCTAGCGAATAGGTGCGAACGGGTAGAATCCCACCCCCGGGTGCCATCTTGCTTTCAGGGCCTGGAGGCCCAGCTGCTGGGCATCGTGGTCCGGAAGGAGCGGCCCGAACTGGAGGAACAGAAGGACTCCCTGGTGCTCAACATTGCAGCCGGCAAGAGGAAGCTGAAGGAGCTGGAAGATGAGATCCTCAGGTGGGACATTTTGGAGACGAACTCACAACTTAGGTGTGCGCGGCACAGGGGCAACCCAGGCAGCTGGCAGTTCAAACCGCCCCTTTATTGCTCCAAATTTCTCCAAACGCACCATTGTTTCTGGCAAGTCCTAGATCACACACACGCGCGCACACACACACACACACACACACACTTCCAGCAGCCTCCGGCTGCAAATAGTCCAGGCCAACATTGTGAGTGCCATGGCTGCAAAGCAAGAAGCCCAGCAGGGGCAAGTCGAGGAGTCAGGAAGCGAAAGAAGCAAGGTGAGTTATCCAGAAATCCAGCAAGAATGCCAGGAATCCAGGAAAGTTCAAAGGTCGGCATTCGACGCTCCACAAATTCAGGGTTGATTCCCGACAAATGCCCCTCCCCACAGCCTCTCCTTATGTCTCCCCCCCACCCCCCCCCCCCCCCCCCCCCGCAGTCCCGCCCCCCCCCCCCCCCCCTACTGCCTACAGTGGAGAGATTGCAAGAGGAAGGGATTATAAGAGAATAAGCACATCGGTGGACATGCACGTCAAAAGAAATGCATGAGTGCCAGAGAATTCTGGAAGTCCACATGCCTTAAAAGTGTCCAGAATTCATCAGCCAGTGATTTCCCCGACCCCCAACTTTGCTGAAGTCGAGATATATTACGTCTCTCGCACACCCACCGTCTATTAAAGCTATACTATCCACACAAAAAAATGCAACAAAGGTAGCCCAGCCACATTCATTGTTGTCCTCTCCGTGCTAAATTCTGGGAAACGGTGGCTGGGGAATTCTGGGAGTCGATGTCCACATGCCTTGGCTGAGTTTGGAGACCACCACCCCAACACGCCCGCCCACCCTCTGGTCTACAGGATGTCCTTTCTGAGGCTGGGGGATAGGGGATACGGGCCTCTCCCTGAAGAACAGCCGGGCGTCAGCTCATAAAACATTCCTGCGGTCTTTTTTTTTTAAAAAACAAGTTTTATTAATTTTAAAAAACAATACACAAGCAAACAAAACGTAAAATAATAACATAGGACATCTTTTCTATAAAAAAAAACAAATAAAACATCTTATTTAAAGACAGAATAATTCCAAATTATCACATTTCCATACCAACACAGTTTAATATGCATCTTATCTGTTCAACTTCATATCTTTTCCCAACCTCTCTTTATTTCTCCCTTTCCTTCTATTCAATTATATTTCTTTTGCCTTAAATTATATATATTCATTATATCCATCTGTCTTATTTAAAATTTCATTATTCTCTTCCAGCATTCTTCTAACGTTTTGATAAACAAACAAAACAAAAAACATAAATACATAAAACTTCTTTTTGGAAAGCGGCTTACCCCGGGTAACATCTTTTTGTACAGACATAAATCAAATTCATGCTCACTTAATATACTATTTCATATCTTATTTAACATTCTGTATTTTCTATATATTTTCTCTCTTCATTCACTCTCTTAATTCTATTTTATTTATTTCATCTCAGTTTAGATGATTGTACTTGCATCTTTTGTCCGTTCTCTTTCAATTATCTATTTTTCTTTTCTTTCTAGTACAATATTTCTCCTGTAATGACTGGTTGAAGTATGACAACTTTTTATCTTTCCCCTAAATTTAACACTTAAAATAATACATACTTTCCATACTGATTCTGCTTAGTACATTCTAAGTATAACATTTTAGAATAATAAAACAAAGAAAAAAAGAGATTTAAGTTTATAAAATAGTAAAGACAATATTCCATAGAAAGTTAAACTCTATTGTTAAATCTTAAACATTTTTATACGTTCCCTTTAATGCATTATTAACTCATATAATATTTCAGTTTTCTAACTCAATTTCAAATACTAATATCTACAATACAATCTTATGTACTTTTGCAGAATCATTTTTTAAATTATAGTTTACCCTTTGTCTCTGAAAAAAACCTGCTTTTTAACATCTTGTTTTAAACCTTTATGACTTCTCTTTCCTTTTTCCCTTCCTTTCTTATCAATTCTAGCCTTTTTACCCACCCACCGCATCTCTCAAACTCCACTCTCTTAATCTTCCCTCTGTTGTATTTCTCTTTTCTGTTGCTTTCTGACATTGTATCGATTTTTCATCTTATTTTTCCCTTTCTTGGTTGCTTTTTTAAGTTCTGAATTCTCCGTTTTCTTTCCCCCCTTTCTCTTTTCTTCTTCAAGTAAGATTGTCTGTCCATTAAAGATGGCTTCTTCTCCTTCATCCCAGCCTCCTTGTTGTTGTATTTCTTGGTAGGTAGAAATCGCCATTTCTAAAAAGTGAAAAATAGATCCAGAAGAGCCCTTGCCTTCTTGTTCCTCTTCTTTTAGCTTTTGAAATTCCATTTGCAATTCTTCAACCGAAAGTGCCATTTTTTTCCCCTTAAGCACAACCCAAATGTTTTTAATCCTTCAAGAAATAGTTCCCAAAAATCCAAAAGTCATAAAGCAGTCCAAATCAGAACAAATTGTTTCATTTAGCACTTTCTTCTTTTTATATTTTCTCTTCCTGGGGTAGCATTCAATTACACAGTCCCAAAGTAATTTTTAGAAGTCTTATTGTCATTTATTCCTAATCTTGTAAACTGCAAGCAGTCTCCTTCAATACAATCTTAAAATAAGTTCTTTACCTCTTCCCTCCCACTTATAGCAAAGAAAAAGTTTTAGTTTTTAATTCCAATATTCAGAAATCTTTTATCCTCTTGGCTTTAATTTTGAAATTTAATTACCTTCTATGCCCAAGCAGGTTTTTCCGATTTCCATCAGCTATTTCCATGGGGAGGGAGAGTGAGAAAAAATAACTTTCACTTTCACTTTTCTTCCGCCGCTTTCCAATCCTCTTAGGAAACGTATCATTCAAGCACTTAAGATTCCAGGGTGTTTTAAAGTTCCTTATTGTCCCGGTTCAGCCAAAAAACTTTCAGTTTCTCCAACTTCCTCCTGCACAATCTTACCCGGCTGCAGGCTTCTTTGTGGCGGCCATTGCTGACCGCCGCTCCACCGCCTTGGGAAAAAGCAGTTTAGCCAGCTGAGGAGTGGGGTTGCGATACCCTCAAGCCCCTACCCGGATCTCCTCTCTCTTCGGTTGCCTCTACGGGGCAACCATATCCTCCAGATCCAGCTGGATCGGAGGAACTTCGGCAGCGAGCGCAGCAGGAACCGCGCACGATCGCAGATTCCTGCCGCCGCCGAAGCCTTGCAAACCGGAAATCTCAAATATTCCTATAGTCTTTTTAGAGTTGCCAACAGAAAGGGAGGGGGGGGGAGGGAGGTTTGGAAGACCAGTGCGGCAGCTGGGGAACCAAAAGCGCATTCCATAAATGGTTTTTCAAAGATAGTAATTAGGTGACTGAAGTTTCTGCCACGCACAATTATAACTGGAGAACATGGTTGATGACTCTGGGCTATGGAGGTGTCCCATTGGAGAATATGAATTATGATACACCCAGGGGGTGGGAAACCAGGGTCAAGGGTGACAAGGAATGATGGGTCTCAGAGTCAGCTACACCCAGGCAGTGCCGGACATGTTCACTCCCCATAAATCCTTTTTGGAAGTTTGGCTCGAGACTCAGGATTTAATTGGGGGTAATTGCCGGAATCCTGACACTGGGGTTCTTCCCCATAATTGACCCCACTCCGCTGTTCCCTCTAGGCCTACCGGCCTTGTGCCCAGAGAGCCTCCATCCTCTTCTTCGTGTTGAACGACATGGGGCGCATCGACCCCATGTACCAGTTCTCCCTGGATGCCTACATCGACCTCTTCAACCTGAGCATCAACAAGAGCCATCGCAGTCACAAGCTGGACGAACGAATCCGACACCTCAACGAGTACCACACCTACGCCGTCTACAGGTCAGCCACCCGAGCCGCCCTTCCGCTGCTCCCCACTGACAAAAAAAAAGGGAAGGGACAGCTCGCTTAGTGACCGCTTGAAATTACGACAGCGGCTGGGGAAGAAAAAGACGGACTTAACGACCTTTTTTCACGGTTTACGACTTGGGCGGCATCCCCATGGCCACGTGATCAAAATTCAGGCGATCCGACTCGTAGTTATGACGGTCATAAGTCACCTGTCTCCATTTCGCGACCTTCTAGCCGGCAAGCCACCGGGTTGGTCACTGATCAACTGTGCAGTGATTCGCTTAACGATGGAGGCAAGAAAGGTCGCGAAATGGGGCAAAGCTCGCTTAACAAGTGTCTCACTTAGCAACATTAAACGTTGGCCTCCATTGTGGTCACGTGTTGAGGACGACTTGTAGAATGTGGGCTGCCCGTTGTGGTCGTTAAGTCATAACGGTCGTAAAAGCCTAAAACCTTTTGGTAAAACGTTTCGGAACAGCGGCCCACTTCACGCCTTCTCTTTCCTTGGAATTCGAGCCAGCTTCTGCTCTCCCACGCACCCCCTGCAAACTCTGTCCCCATTTTACGACGGTCGTTGAACACCGTGGTTGTTAAACGAGCTGGCGGGCCGCTACGGGCGCAGCTCTGGCTGAAAACTAGAGGAAAAAATGCCAGTTTTCAGCCAAAAAAAAAAAAAGGCATTGCAACGACCTCAGGATGCTGCAAACTGCTGTAAAAACTGTCCTCGTTTTGGGCCCGTCGTAACTTGGAGTGACCGATCATAAGTCGAGGACCAGCTGTACAGGCTAAAAGTCGGCAGCTGAGGCGATCCACAGCCGCGCGTCGGAGCTTTGCGGGGACGCGCTGTCTCTTTTCCTCGCGGGGGAGCAGGCTGATGGGGATCGGAGTCCTCCTGGTGAGGCAAGGGGAGGGAGGGGGTCATTCTAATGGCCGGACAAGAATGGCTCACCCAGGTGTGTCTCCTTTGCACAGGTACACCTGCCGCGGCCTCTTTGAGCGGCACAAGCTGCTCTTCAGCTTCCAGATGTGTGCCAAGATCCTGGAAATGTCCGGCACTCTCAAGATGGACGAATACAATTTCTTCCTGCGCGGCGGAGTGGTTAGTGCCGGAGGGTGGGGGGGGGGCGGCACTGGGGGGCAGCCCTGGCTTTACTTGTTGCTTTATTTAATTTTTATCCCGCCGTGATCGCTTTGTAAGTTGATTCAAACAGGCGAACCTACCCGATCCTCCGTTCTCCCTCCCCTCCTATTCTCCCCCAAAACAACAACCCTGTGAGGTGGGCTGGGCTGAGAGAGAGAGAGAGAGAGAGAGACTGGCCCCAAAGTAGCCCAGTTGGGTTTCATGCCTAAGGCGGGACTAGAACTCGCCGTCTCCTGGCGATTGGCCCAAAGTCACCTGTCTACTTTTCATGCCTAAGGCGGGACTAG